CACCTGGAGCGGGGATAAAGCAAACCCCAGTGCCCACCCACCCTGACCAAGAAAGGGGAAGGGAAAAGGGGTGGGGGGGAGGTAAAACCCAAACGAAGGGAGGAAAACGAGGGGGGAAAAAAAGAAAAGATGAGAGGAGGGAAGGTGGGGAAGGTGGGGGAGAGTAAACCAGACTGAGCCGAGGGGAACGGGTCGAACCAAAGAGGGCTGGAGGTGATGGGGGGGGGTCTGCTCACACAGAGGCATGCACACACAGAGAGAGATATATGTTCAGATATGTGTAGTTTTTATAGATCGTACGGCTTTCGGCTTCAAACAAATCAAGAAACGAGGAGGACGGCACAGAGCGACAATGGAGGGCAAGGCAGGGGGGGGGGGGTTCAGGGGCGAGAAGGCAAAAAAGAAACCGAAAAAGAAAGAAGAAAAACCATCCAAATCAAATCAAATTTAAAAAAAAAAAAAAAGAAAAGAAAACCAAAAAAAAACCAAACAAATCAACAAAGCAAAACTTCACAAATGTCCTCGTTACTGAGATAAACGAACGTCTCTGAGCTCTTCCTGGGACACGCATTGAGCCGTTAGCTGTGACTCTGCAGGGAACTGCTAAGTCCTCATCAGCACTCAACACAGACTTTGCTTTCTGCTTCCTTTTTTTTTTTTTTTTTTTTTCCATTATGTGTTTTTTTTTTTTTTTTTTAAGTCCCTCTTGGTTAACATCCACTTACCAAAAAAGTGGCATTTCCTCCTTTAGTAGGTAAGGTATGAAGAGAAGGGAAAAGCGGGGCAATATAAGTGCATCATTAGATTCACAAAAATGCAAGAGAGAAAGAAAGAGCGAGAGAAGGAGGAGAGACAGAGACAGAGAGAGGAGAAATAAAACAAACCAACTCACTTCTCCTATGGAAGGGGGTGGGGGGCAACCCTGGGCCACCGCCGAGGCCCCGTGCCGGGCTCTTGCTGAGAGTTTGGGGAGGGGGTTTTGCCCGGCGCGGGGGGTCCAGCACGCAGCGGCTCCCAAATATCTGAGCTCCTCTGAGCTTCAGCCGCTGCCTGGGATGTTTTCCCCCCATCTTTGCAAACACCGCTAGATCGAAAAGATGGGTGGAAACGGCTCCTGCATCGCTGGCCCCCACTGAGCCGGCAAACGCCGGCTGGGGGGAGTTGGGGGGGTTGGGGGGGCTCCTTCTCCCCACCGCAGCCCAGCGCCGGGTCCCTGAGTATCCCTGGAGGGGTAAATCCTGCGCGGGGTGGCGCTGAGCGCGGCTGAGGGGATCTAATGGGGGTTTGGAGGGGATTGGGGTGGTGGTGGGATGGTGTCACTGCGCTCGGGGCTAAGCTGGGGGCCGGTGACCCCAATTCCCCACCGGCCCCTAGCCCCAAACACACCCGGGGCGGGGAATCCTCGAGGCCGAGGGTGTCT